AGTGTCCCCTGGTCTCCTCCCATCAGTCTGTGACAAGTGGACCCTGCCCAGGACAGGTGTAGTGTCCCCTGGTCTCCTCCCATCAGTCTGTGACAGGTGGACCCTGCCCAGGACAGGTGTAGTGTCCCTGGTCTCCTCCCATCAGTCTGTGACAGGTGGACCCTGCCCAGGACAGCTGTAGTGTCCCCTGGTCTCCTCCCATCAGTCTGTGACAGGTGGACCCTGCCTGGACAGGACAGGACAGGGTTCAGCTCTGTTGTTCATAGTGTTGCCGTCAGTCATACTCGACTTGATGGCACCTACGACAATTGCACCATTGATGGAAGATGATGGCATTCTTTTACACCGCTAATGGAAAGTGATGACATCGTATAGTATTACATTATTGAATTTTATTATATCACATGATAATTTATTGTATCACATTTCATTATGGAAAAGTATTACATTATTGAAAGTAATTACTATGTATTGTTGTGTGTCATTGAGGCCAGTCTGACCCACAGTGACCCTATGAACAATAGATCTGAACCCCATCCTGTCCTGTCACACCCTCACACTTCCTGACACTCTAGAGCCCATTGCGGCAGTCAACCCACCTGGTCGAGGTCTTCCTGTCCTTCGCCAGCCCTCCTTGCCGAGACTTCACGTGGTGTCATCACTACATGCTGCGATCTCTGTGAGCAGTCAAGCAGCTGGAAGAGCCCCACATCCAGTCTGTCGGGACACAAAGCTTACTTGGTTTTTGTTTGATCTACATCCTGAGGCTGGACTTGAACACATGGTCTGTGCAACCTCGTCTGCTGACACACCTTGGACATGTCAGCCCTCACAGCGGCACGAGTCAGGAGAGGATCCGGCTCAGGTACCTGGGGCTTGTCAGGCTGCACACGTGTGTGATGGTTTACTTTAGAGAAATCTCTTTATGAAATTCATTGGTTTGACTTCGCTAGAGAACCTGGCCTACTACAAAAGACCAGATAAGCATTGGGTCTCTGAACGTGGACTTGGGAAGAGTGAACGAGTCTACCTGGAACGTACACCTGGAATGCCCATTATGAGCGGTGGTCAGGGAGGGCAGTGCCTGTGGGGCCAGTGTGGATGCTCGCTATGAGTGGTGGTCAGTGATGGCAGTGCCTGTGGGGCCAGTGCAGATGGCACTTTGCTTGTGTTTTACATCAGACGGCTATGAGTCAGCGCGTGTCAGCGACAGAACTGAGGGACAGCCACAGCACCGGGGCCAGTGTGGAGATGAAGGCTGTGGAAACTGGCTGAGTCAGCTTTGGAGCAGGCTCTGTCCCCATCCAGCGTTCACAAGAGCACACACAGCTTACAGTCTTCTGAGGCCCCCAGCTCAGCTGACCTGTATCTCTGGCCCACAGAAA